TATATATATATATATAATGTTATATAATATTTAAAAATCGTTATATAATATTTATTTTATAACAATTTTGTATTTTCATTAAAATTTGAGGTTTATAATTGAAATAATTGTTGTTTATGTATAAAAATTCAAATTATATGTAATTACAGAGGACATGCAATGTTCTACTACAAGATAGGTTTCTAATATATAGATATCTATCAAACTAGTAGGCATTATTTATTGGTCCTACCAAATTTATTGCTCTTATCTCATATTAGGAGCCTGTTTTATAAAGGACTCTTCTCTACTATTCTTTTCACTTGTAAATTTGTGTATATGCAATCATATTGAAAAGCACACATAATTTATTTGATATATTATTTATCGTACAAAAAGACATACATACACAATTTCTTTTTTAATCTATGATTACTAAATTTATTATATTTTAATAAATTTTATATTTTCAAACAAAATTTTTATGCTTAAACAACAGCTATTTGATACAAAAATAACACTATTTTACTGCAAAATTATACATGGACTGGAAAAATAATATTTTTAATTTTATTTATGTATATAGGTCTTTAGAATTTAAATTATATTTTATTTCTTTTAGTTTTCTTATACTTGCATATATTACATTACATTGTATAAAATTTATTAATTTTGTAGATACTTTATATGAAAAGTAAAGGCAGCAATACATCTCATGACTTAATTTACAATATTTTATCTAACGTTAACCAATTCTGTAGCTACAAAATATAGCTTTTATAGGCAAAAACATAAACAAGTTTTTTCTAATCTTATTTTATGCAGTTACATCTATCGTAAGTTCTGTTTAAGTTAAACATGCTATACAATAAATAGCTTAAATTAACCAGTGACTGAATAGATTTTGTATTTTCATTATTGTATTAATATAATTTCTTAAATGTATGGTTTTCAAATTTTTAATGCAATAAAATAATCTTTCAGTTTTTAAAATTTGATTATTGTAAATTAGATTGTAAATGTTACTAAATAGTGTTTTCTATATTTTTTTTAGATTTGTTTATTTATCACTATTCAATTTATGATACTATAGTATCAATATAAATGTAAAAATTATTACATTAATGACAATTGTTATTTTTATGTATGCAGATGTAAAACTACAATTTGCTAATATTACCAAAGAAGATGTTAAACAGAGCATTAAAAGATGGCTCGATAGTTCAAAAACAAGATTGCTCCGTGCACAAACGTAATTATGAACAACACTTCACACCCTTATAGTAAAATACTATAACTTATATTTTTACGACAAATCGATTTTAAAGAGAAAATTTTCGAAATCCTTGTAACGTATTTCTATTATTTTTAATGACATTTGTATGTTCTTTGTGTTTATATAAATAATGTTTTTTGCTTTCTATTCAAAGTAATATTTTGTAATATTTTGAATTATAGTATATTATTGTAAGTACTTCATATACTAACCATTTATTTAATTGATAATATTTATAAAATCTTTTTAATTTTTTAGGCAAACTCCTAAAAGAAAAATGTTTCAACCAATAATACCAGCTGAAAATGATGATCTAGAAAATTAAATTTTAAAGAAAAATATTCAATATATATTAAAACATTCTATCTATATATTCTATTAATATATATCCTATGACATATAACATATATTCTAATAATATATATTTTACTGATATAAAAATTACATATATTGCAAAAAAATATTAAAAATAAAGATTACAAAAATAAATATTATATGAAAAAGAAATTTTTAATATGTAACATTATTTTACACCGAAATTATGTATTCTTTCTAGCGCACAGATCCGAAAAAAATTAATTAGAAAAATATTGAAAAATCATAATAAATCGGACAAAGAAATGGTTGTGAATATCTTTATGGTATCTCGTTTACTATAAAAATATCTCGAAATATGTTAAGAAATCTTTAGAAATATTTTAAAAGTATTCTTTAAAATATTTTATGAAAAATTACTTGAAATATATTTCAAGAAACTTTTAGAAACATTTTTGAAACACTTTTTGAAAACTTACTTAAAATATTTCTAAAATGTTTCAAAAAAATATTTCAAAAACTCTTATTTTATGGACATATTTATATTTCAGAAATATTTCATGAAATATTTTTAAAATATTCTAAATCTTGCAATAAAATATTTCAAAAATATTTCTGATATATTTCATGTTGTGTGGGAAATGATTGTCATTACTGAAAGATGTGAGAGAACCAGAGCGTGGGCCAGAGCTAATTTCGAGGGAGGAGGATTGTGCAATTCTTTTCTTAGCGTCAATAAGCGAGATGTTTTGCGACGCAGCGAGTGTGAGGATTTTCTTTTGAGCGATAAGAGCGGGACAAGAGAAATCAGTGGGGAGATGCTCACCCGAACAATTGATGCAGCATGGCTTGCCGTCTCTCAATGGGCACACAGTCCCCTCTGCGTGCGGAGAGTTGCCGCAGAATTGATACCTTGGCGGACTTCTACAGGACGCAGCAGCGTGACCCGCTCTGAAGCAGGCATGACACACACGGGTCCTCGGAATATACGACGCACCTCGTGACGCGCCCAGAAGAGTATCACATAAGACGGCAGAGTTTGATCTGAAAATTTCACGCATACAGTGCGGGAAGGTACGATTGAGGCTTATTATCGATTGTAATCCTATTGAGGCGCTGAACATCGATTACTTTTTGGTCAGAAATAACGATCAGGCAAAATAACATGGTCGACAATGCCGGTACCGCCCCCCCCCCCCCGGTCGGCCCCACACAAGGCCATAGTCTCCGATATATCGAAAGAACGGCTATTACTAATGCGGTTTTTAAGTGCGGTTTTAATTCGCGTGTCGAAAGAAAAAAGGGGATAAAAAGACTATGCCCAGACACTAACTGCCGCGAAAAGCGACGAAAAAACGCATGTAACACGGACTCACTCGAGAGCGCAGTAAAAACACGACCGAACGGGAGCGAGCTTCTTCTTCTTCTTCTTTTACTATGGCGACGGCTCCTACAAGGAGCTATACAGCCTGATACTAATGACTAAGTGTTAAAACTGAATTGAAGAAATAACGAAATATTGAAATATTAATCGGATCTAAATCGGATGATGCAA